AGTAACCCTGATGTTTGCTTTGAGCAGATAGGTCGGATCTGCTAATCTGTTTTTCGCAAACCGCCAGCTAATTTCTGCCATTGAACCAGATGTACAGCAGTTGAAAAATGATGACCAGTTAGTATCGATCTCGGTCCAGTGATTACTTAAGCATTTGTCGGAAGTCCTTTGAAAGTACTCAGCCATGATTAGGTTTTGTAGCTTTCTTCTGTTGCTTTTATTCAGAGTTAATGTGGTGCCTCCAAAGTACTTAAATTTTAGTACAATTTCATGAGTATTTCTGCGGTTTACATCGCGCTCGGTATACAGTGCCTGGAAAAAAACTCTAATCCTTCTGTAGTGGGCTATAAGTTGGTTCCTGACATTCATAGTGGCATTTTCAGGCAAAAGTAAGTCCTCTTCGTCCACCCATCTATCCCCAATCCTGAAGTCGCCTATCGTTTTGTAACCCCACTTAGCCCAGTTGGCACTAAATAAAGGCGGTACGGCATGTGATATTAAGGTTGACGTTGTGGTTGGGGTTTTAAGAAAGTCGAAGTGCTCCAATGTAAAATTTATTGCTTGCATGTTAGAGATAAGCTCTTGTACATAGGTTGAGACTAAGGGACTGCTAGGTCTTTTCCCATCCAAAAAAAACCATTGCCACGACAGTCCCAGATCATCCGCCATTTGCATACTCTCCTCTATTATCGACCTCCAACTTGAATCTTCAGCTACCGTGATGAGACGTTTTCCCAGCCACGCCCGCATTAAGTTAATTTTGGAAGGGATATGCACAAGTCCCAAACCACCTTTCCGAACTGGAAAACACAGATCTTCATGCGAAGTCCAGTGTTTCCCTTTCCAAATAATGTCAACTAACTTTTGCTGTAAAGATTTTTGTTGCTTACTCGAAAGAGTGATACACTGCAGGATGTGATATAGCTTCGGAGCGATGTATGTATTAATGACGATTTTTCTGCCGATTAGGGATAAAGATGGCAGTCTTCTTTTCCATCTTTCGGATGAAAAGTTGATTGTTTCACAGAGCACGTTGAAGGCTTGTATCGAATCCTGTTCAGCACTATTGGTTAAAGGAACCCCTAATATTTTGATACCGTCTGATGACCACTTGAAGTTTAGAGGAGGTCTTGCCTTCCTTTCCACGAACCAGCCCAAACTCCGCGACACTTTAAAAGGTTTAGTTGTGCACCAGATTGTTCCTCATAGATACTGTAACATTGTTCTAGTTTTGCGAAGTCAGTTTCATTACAAATGAACACAGAAACATCATCGGCGTATGCGCTAACTGTTATTTTAATTTCTTTATGCATCATGTGAATCAAACACCCATCCAGGACTTTACGTGATAGGGCAAGGAGAGGTTCGATTGCAATGGAAAAAAGGGAACCTGACAACGGACAACCTTGTCTTATACCACTATTGAACTCTATGGCTCTTGTAAGCAGCGACCCAATTCTTACATGACTTGTAGCATTGCTATATAGAAGTTCTACTGATTTTGTAAAATGATTCCCAAAATTCATCAATTGGAGTACTTGAAATAAGTATGTGTGGGAGATGTTATCGAAGGCAGACTTCTGATCTAGGTTAACAACTGCTAACGGTATATTGTGTTGGTTTGCGTAAAAAAGTATTTCCCTATGCAAATGGATTGCATCGTACATGGATCTGTTCGGAACGGAATAGCTTTGATCTGGCGAAATTACTTTGTTAATAATGTTCGCTAGTTTCATGGATAATATCTTTGCGAAATACCATACGAACAGTGTTGCATTGTGGTTGGTATACTGTACTGTACTGTAGAGGATCGTTGGTGTAATGAGTATACTAAACTATAGAGTAAATTTACTCTATGACTATACTCATTGAATAAGATAATTACTAATTCAATGGTATACTAAACCACTATGTAATGTAGCACTGTTCGAATGATTTCCCACATTCTTATTCTGTTCTATCGATTGTAGATAGGTACTATGTAAACAAACACTTAATTCAGATGTAATATACACCGCGATAACGTGCGCGCAAACGTACGAAAATCCTACTATAATAAATAAGTTACATAATCGCACATTTTGGACGAAGTATGCGAAATAAGGTGCTAAGTCAGTTTGCCGCGAATCATAAAATTCTGTTTTTTTTCCATACAAGTCATACAAGGTATACTTGTTTTACAAGAATTTTTCCGAAGACATCTGCGTTAGTGACGAATGTACTTGAAGCGGATTTGTGAACAGTAAGCTGTTATTGACCTAAAAGTCAAGAAAATCACAATTACTGTCGAGCAAATATTGACTTTAATTCCCAGGTTTCATCTGTTGAATATAATAATGTGTCAGTTTTGACAGAAGTCTGGTAAAGTGACATCAGGAGGCAGGAAAAGTAATCAGGTAAAGTGGGATTTTCATAGACACCAAAAATCACCAGACATAAAGTAAGCGTGAAAATGTATGTTCCATGACAATTTCGAAAATAGTACATTATTTTATGTGGAGGAGAAGTATTACTTTTCATGGCGCGCCTTGAAAAGTAACTTCTCCTCCAAATAAAATACCTATGCTATTTTTTCTTCAAACTTCCGCAAATTTATCCAAAACACAAGGTTTTTAAGGGATATTAATCGCTTTCGTTAAATTAAACGCCATTGTCAAGTATAGGTAAGTTTCTTTTCCTTTGCATGAATAGATAGGTGCTGTTTCCTTGGTTAGGCAGTAAATAATGTTATTGAGTGAAAAAATTACATGTCAGTTCGTAATTTTCAATAAGAAAGATTTCTCGATAAGAAAGAAGTAAGTTAATTAAATCACTAAAAAGATAGTGTAAATTAGTTAATTTTAGAATGCAATGCACGCCGCCCGAAATTGCCGTTGAGGCGAATGAAGCAGTATCGCGCCTCGGACCGTCGAAATCCGGTGATGAAATGATGAAAATGAATATAGGCGACATTGAAGAGTTGGAAAATTGAATCCTAATAAAAATTCCCGATAGCAAAACGAAAAAAGTGCGCTCGTTTACCATCATCGGAGAAATGTTCATGAATATTTACCACAAGTACACGTCATTAAGACCGAGAGATATGCAAGAGAGGTTTTTTTTGAAATATCAGAATGGGAAGTGCTATAAAAATGTGATGGGGATTCATACGATCAGTGCTGTACCCAGAAAAGTCGCCGAATTTCTAAAATTAGGCAATGTCCAAGAATATACGGGTCACTGTTTAAGGCGTACTTCGGCTACATTACTCATCGATGGTGGAGGAAGTATGGAGTCGTAGAAGCGCCACGGGGGTTGGAGGTCGACTTCCGTAGCAGAAGGATACATAGAAGAGTCGATTCGCAACAAAAAAGAGAATGCTAGCCGAATATTAAATTTAAACGAAACTGCGGTAACTGAAATAGGCGCATCAGGAAATCTAATAACACCGTCTTCGCCAAGGTCATCGCCTAAATCGAGAGTAGGTAAATACTTTAACAGGGTCTAGTTCATCGTTGCACGGCTTCAATTTTCAGAATGCAACACTTACGTACATTTAATATTAATAAGTCTGAAAATATATCATAATTTTTTGAATAAATAAATGCAATTGTTGTGTTTCCATAACTACACTTTTCCCTCCGGCGACAGGAAAAGGAAAAGTAAAAACTGCTCTAACGATAATGTCAAACTTTGGCGCCTACTACTCAGTCGAACAATGGCCTAATATTTTGACGTTTGAAGAAAAAATACATTGTTAGGTACTGAGAAAAACGAAAAATCACACTTTTTCGAAAGATCCGATCCACTTCCGCAGAAAACCAATGTTTGGACAGGTATTCTGGAGAAAGAAAATATTGCGGCGATATTCCTAGAAGGGAATTTAACAGGGGGATTAATATCAGAATATATTGGAAGAAAGTAATAGACTCTCTGTCCTATTGGCTGTACCTCGGTCTGTGCACTAATAGAGACCATTTTAAGCATTTAATAAAATTAATTTTATACAATCAAAACGCGAAATCGCCAAATTTATTTATTTTGTATTTGTTTTCGTTTTTTAAAATTAATTCATAGCCACAGCATACGAATTAGATTTTGAGGTTATTTCTGAGACTTTTATGGCTTTCTAAATGATGAGTCACTCTCGATAGGGAATGCATATTACAATTTTAAAGCAGAGGTAGTTGGCGCTGTGGGGGTAAATGCTAAAACTAAGGTAAACCTCCCATTAAACTTGCCCCTAGCTATCCAAACGAACGCATTTTTGCAAATTTTGATTTTTTATCAAAATGACAAAATTCAACAGGCGATTGGTTTTGAAATGAAAGCCCTTTACTTACTAATTAGTTAGTTCTAGTTAGTTACACAAATGGATTTAATATTATATTGCACACAAAGACCGAAAGGGTGAAAAATAGTTATTTATGTATTAAGGGCATAATAGTGATGTTTATATTCTCGAGGGCGACGAGTTAAAATGCTCGAGGGCCTATAGCCCGAGAGCTTTTTAGTCGCCCGAGAGTATAAACATCAGCTTATGCCCGTGGTACATACACAATTTTATGTCTTACAAATAGTTTTCTTCGTCAAAATTCGTTTACAAAATAATTCATTATGTTTGATCGAGTATGCGTGGTTCGAATTTGTTAATGTAGTTGAAACCATCCAAACGTCAAACGTAATTTTAAATAATTCAATTCATCGTGAATGAGGAAGAAGTTCCAGAAACTATACGAAATAAGGCCAATCTTGTGATTTAGTAGATATTGACAATTAATAATTGACGTTTCTAATTTTCAATGACCTGCAAATATTTGTTTGTTTTGTCATTAAGTATAAATGAGTTACTATGGTGATACTTAATGCACTTTATGCCCGCGTATCACAGATATAAAATGTGCTATGATAGGTTAGTAAGACATAAAAATTATTATGAAAACTTTTAAGCTATGGTTAAATAATGCATTACTCGTTTATAAAGCGGTTATCTTTTAATTAAGTTAAATATCCAAACTTACCCTTTTCATAACTTCAGCCGCAGAAAGTCCTGTATACGGGGTGCTTCCTAACGTGACGACTTCCCAGATAAGTACTCCGAAGCTCCAGACGTCCGATTTAACAGTAAAGATGTTATCGTAAAGAGACTCAGGTGCCATCCAACGAATTGGAAGCCTTCCTTCACTTTTACGTTCGTAAACATGAGAATCAATAACATCTCTCGCAAAACCAAAATCGGCAACCTTACAAACGTGATCTTCCGTAATTAAGATGTTCCTAGCGGCGAGATCGCGATGAATTATCTGAAAAGAAAGCACGTTGTAGATAAGAACGTAAGGGTTAGCAAATACACGGTTTGTCAACCACCGCGGTATGACGGCTTTTAGGGAAAAAGAGTAATTTGCTGCGGATTAATGCAAAAAGGATTTTCCTTTGCAGCCCGAAAGATTTCAACATAATTTTAAAAGGATTAAGCGTAACTGCGCAAGTGATTTACCTTCGTGCGATAACAAAAAGTATCTACAATCATTCTTACACGCACAAAATGCGATATCAGACGTACTTCTAATTTATTGCACACGGTTACCCATGAAAAGCGGTTTGACTATCTATAACAAAAGTAAGCACATAAAATTACGGTCAGATTCGACTTCCAAATATCCCTTTGTTAAGCAATTTTTTTTTACACCTGCACGTCCCATAAAAATACTTAAAAATCTTCTTAGTGTAGCCAGTTAGATTTTCTTGGTTGTTGAAGTAAATCAGAAAAAAGATCAAAGAAAATAGTGTCCGATGAAAGTTCGTCATCTAAATTAATAAATATGGTTCGTATTTCCAATCGCTAGATACAGTGCTTTCACAATGCACAGAACAAATTCCTTCACAGTTTCGGTTTCTATGTTCTGGAAAAATCCTCGAACACTGCGATTTAGTACCTATTTTGATTGACGCGTTTTTCCATTAACAGTTTTATACAGAGTGCCCCAAATCGAAGGTATCAATAGCTTTATTCGTTTTATACAGCCTTAAGGTTTGTCCATGTCTCATTAATCACGTGATTGGAGTGACTTGCGTCATAATAAATTTCGTGCTTAGGGTTAATATAAAACGATTGATCTCGCGGTACGGTACATAACTATACAAATTTAGATACCTACCTTAAACTACCTACATAATTATGTTTAATGAAAATTTGATGGCTTTATTTTTGGAAATAAGCGACGACGATTTTGTTACTTCATCTTCAGATTCGGACGATGAAATAATAGAAGCAGTAGTTAGGACTTTGGCAAGAACGGAAAGAAATGCTATACAATACTATAGCGATATTACTATCCTTAACTACAATGAAGTACAGTTCAGAGTTGTAGTGCTCGTATAAATCGGCCCATTTCCTTAATAATCGATATATTTAAAATGTAGTTCCTTAAGGAATGCGTCAATAGGACATTAACGACAATAATCGTGTTGATACCATATTAATGTATTAAATAAATAGGTAGACACATTCCAAGTAGTTTCCCCAATTACAATTTGGCGTTTGAGACATTAAAATTTTATTGAGAACCGCTGACTTTTAGTTAGGTAAATGGGGGCTATTGTCCTATTGTTTTAAATGTCGCAGTGGGAATTCCCGCTACTTAACGAGTGAAACGAACTATAAACACTATGAATAGACGTTCTCAAAATGTTGTTTTGCGCATGCGCATTGCGCAATGCCAAATTTCTTATGTATGAAAGCATTTAAATGAAATGTTATACATAGGCATTTGGAATAAGGAAGTTAAAGAAATTTGGTTTTGTGCATGCGCAATGGCAACTTTATTATTTATGAAAGCAGTTAAATGAAATATCATATGTAGGCACTTTGAATGGAACTAAAACTAATACCGGTTTCAAAATTATTGTTTACGCATGCTGTATGTTTTATTTATGAAGATATTCTATGAAATTTCTAAGGTAGACAATGCGCGATGCTATTTTAGAAAGCATTAAAAAAAGTTTCACATGTAAACACTTCGAATAAAAGTAAAACTAATGCACATTTCAAAATTTGTTTGCTTGCTCCAAGGTAGCTTTCCCAATCTTCTCCTCGTATTCCTCTTGTGAACATGAGGGGACCATATGAATGTAAATCCATCACAGAGTAAAGTTTTCTCTTCTCAAATCTAGTTTACAAAAAAGATGAAAAATACTTTAGCACAACTGGAGAACTTAAATAATCTCTAAATTCATCAACTTGAGCAGCCTTTATACCTACACAAGTTCTCAGCTTCTGGGAGATTTGTTTCATGTAGAAACTCCAGGAGTAAATGCTAGAGCGTTGTCCACAAAATTGATATTCATTTGATGTTACCTCAATTTATGAAAACAGTTGTGTATACGTACCAATTTCCGCCTTTACAGTCACGAGGTGAATCATTACCATTAATTACAGGCAAGTTTTGTGGTTCATTAACCTCAATTCGGCCGAGATAACGATAAAACCCATTCTCCAATCTATTCATTTCTCGGGTTATGCGAACAAGCCAGCTGAAAGTACCTTCCCTTTCATGAATTTTGAGACATAATTTTTTTGTGGTTCTCTCTGCTAGTTTCATGTTTCCAAAATACGCCAAATTGAAATTACGACCAAAACTCAAAGAATAAAGTTCATTCCGCCAATGTGTTTCTTATATTACTGCTGTTTACAATTTTAGGGTTTGTATTTGCGGGAATTGCGCCAGAGCCGGATGTCTCACACCCAAGTCTATTGATACCCAGCATAATTCACACTCAGGGACATTGCATGAATTCATCAAGGAACTTATTGGTCCTGGGTAGGAGAATAAAATCACAATCTCAATCGACTGAATAGTGAACTCTAATATACTCATTCGTTCTGAGTAGGTGCTCACTTTAAGAACCCGCCCGGAGATTGAAAGAAGCGTCAGACTGGTCACAGAAGCTTATTGAAGAAGACAGACCACTTGCGTTTACAGAGTTTGTTTTCACAATCACCGATGAACTATCGATAGTCACTAACCTAGAAACTAATCTACCGGGTGCCGACGCAGCCGACGGAACCCAGACGCCAAAATGGTTTAGTTTAGTGTTTGAAGGCATATCGTGCAGCGCTATTCGTGTAAAAACAGATCTTTTCAGATTCGCGTTCAATGGCTTGTTATTTGTTTCCATCAAGATGTAAATTACTGAACTCGACTGAAAGAATTACTACACAGCGAAAAGCGCACGCAATCTCAAAATGCTTATTCAGATGAAAGAGATTAGTTTAAATGACGAAAAACAATTTCAATGTGAATTGAGAGTTATTGTAATTATAGTTAATAACGAACATGCTACTGTGGTTATCCATGCGCCGACTTGCGGATATTACCTACTATTGGACCAAGAAGTATTACATATTGTTTTCATCAAAAAAGATTCCGCTGACTTGGTTTCTAATATATTTTTCTTATTAATAGGTTTGATAACTTTGATGTGGACTAAAAGAGGACCTAGATGTGGTATATTGTTGAAAACTATTCTCCTAAAAGTAATATGTACGTTTTCTATTCTTATAGTTTGTTTGAGCCCATGATTTGATTATTTCATCCAGAATAAGCAATATATACGGACGGCATAATCTATTGAGGCTCTTTTAACCCTAATTTTGTCACCTCATCCGTGTTATAGGTATGTAATTGTTAAGAATACTACTAACGTACTGGTACCTTTTACGCTTCTGTAAATATTATTTTCCGGAATGAAAGGTACCAAAGAGTATATAACGTATGTATACTCTTTGAAGGTACCTATTACATTAAACTTAATGTGTATTTTGTGCTGCCTATCAATATAATAAACAAATATCAAAATTGAATTCGCTAAATCATTGAATAAAAAATTGAGTTTTTGTTCAATGACTGAATGCACTCGTAAGATCATTAACCGAACTCGAATTAAATGCTTGATAGGGCGGAAAGTTATTGACGTAGTAAAATGGGGAAAAAATGCTGGCGTTTATCTGAAACAAGGGTTAGTTTAGATACATAAAAGTTTGAAACCGGTTCAGCACGTCCCAAGTGAACAATCATGCACTTAATTACAAAACACATAACATTAATGTCCTGCTTTTCTTGTTTACAATGCAAACTAAGCAAATGAGTTCATCGCCGAATACGATTTTTTAGTCCCTTTGTAAATCTAACCCCTTTAAATCAAGCGAACATTTCGGTAACCTTTTATATTTGATTCTACCTTTGATGTGGGACGAGATGTGCGTATCCGTGTAAAGAATCGGCGCGTTTCCATGATCGATACAAACGTCTGTGGATCACTAATAAATTCGCTCATTTGACATGCTCGTTTAGAAGTGTCTGCATGACAAGCAATTGAGGGAGATTGATAGCAATATCGTTTGGTTTTTGTGACTACATGGCTGTTTCTGTTTAAATAACCGTAAGGGCGAAAAATCTATTTTCATTATTCATTTTCTCAACGCGTAAGTTAGGATGTATTTAGATAAATCGATCTCTCCAAGATGTAACATTCCTATTCTATTGCCTACAAACAGTAAATTACGATTACTGTACCCTTCAAGACTAAAAAGGATTCAATTTATTGGTGAAATTATTTAATAATATCGTTGTGTAGAACTGTGAAAGCTCTTATGAGATTGAAAAAGAGGGCACTTTTAAGTCATCGTATGAAAAAGTATATCCAGAACGTTGAACAAGAATTATAACCAACCAGGAGTAAAAGACCTATCACGAATAAAGGGAGCTAAATGATATTATAGCGTGGTTACCCTTACCCACAGGCATTATTAGATCATACCAAGGAAAATTAACGGAACCCCTGAAACTAATTTAATTTACAGCAATTCCTTTCCTTCTCTATAACAGTTTCGCATGATTCCATTTTGGCTCTGTATGAGAACCTGAGAAATCCTGGGGCACGTCGATTAGTATTTTTATTGATTAAAGTTGAAAGTAGCACGTCAGTGTGGATTTTCCCCTTCAGAGCTAATAATGGGCAGAACACCCCGTACTACCTTACCAACAAATAAAATGAATCTAATTCCTAAATGGGACTATTTACCGGATTATATTAGGCGTAGAAAAATTGAGATTCAGGTATACACTGATAATTTTAACAAACACCACAGAACCAAAGTAGTTCAAAATTTAAATGTTAACGATAGAGTTTGGATTACAAACTTAAAGAAATACGGTGTGGTGGTCAATGAAGGCCCTGAACCAAGATCATACGTTGTAATAGCTGATAACAAGCACTATCGACGAAATAGATCTCACCTAAT